ATATATATACCAGATGTTTAGTACAAAATTACAGTTGCTTCAAATTCTAGGGAAACCAGCTCTAAGCTGTAATGATGCACTATAATTGTTTAATATGTGAATAAAATGTGCACAGAACCATTAAATGTTGGGGCTTGGTGAGTCAATGAAAATGCTGCAAATAAAAAAACGATATAGTCATGGCAACAAAATGATCTTTGTATTAGTGGTAAACACTTTTTATGTTGAAAGCATCATTGCATCTGGAAATTATAGGCCTTTGTGTTTCACTTCAAGCTCAGCTAACTTCCAGTGATGTATGCAGTCTTCCTGGGAACCCGGTGCTGTATGTGCTCTTGGGTTACCATTAAATCCAGGAAATTTAATTATTACCCCAGCTCTTTTGCAAACGCTGGATCCGAGCGCAGGTTAAAAGAATGAGAAGTTATGGGACAATCTGTTGCCAAAATACACATTATGCAACTGTGAAGGGCTGTCACAGAGTTATAGCTTTTTATACGTGCACATACGGTGCTGTGCACAAGTTTAGGTCTGACCCCTTTTCGTCCACTTTATGTGCATTCTGAGAAGCAGCTTTTGGTTTTAAATGAGCAGCTGTGCTCTCAAGTGTGTTTATGTGGTAAGAATTTGAAGATCTGAGTTTTTTGTATCCGCAGTACCATCTGGTGCAGGACCTAAAGGGATAGTTTACATCTTTTGAAGTTGAGTTTTGTGGAAGGGTTATGAACACTTAATCTGTTACTTGTAGGAAACTCTTTGAATGACAGTTTGGAGGAAAAAAAAACTTCAATTTTGATAAGCTAACAAGTTGGTGTGGTTTTAAAACAAGACTCCATCCTCCAGTAGCAGTTAAAACTGATTTTATGCTTCATTTAGTTTATTTTAGTCAGTTTTACAGGCAAAGGTTTCCAGGCTTGCACAAGAACGGCTAAGGTTAGCTGTCGCTATTTGCAAATCACTGCAGAATTTTATGTGATTGACAGTATAATGTGAAAATATCAGTTATGTAAAAGTAAATACAATAGTGATTGAATGAGCAGCTTTTAAATTCTAATAATTGAAATATTAAGATGTACCGTACTTTCTGCCGTACACGCCGCACCGCCCTATAAGTCGCATCAGTCCAAATATATTTAATAAAATGGAAAATTCCATGAATATGTTGCTTTGCCATATAACTCGCATCTATTATGCATTGCCGCTGATGCGTCGCGTTTGTTAGGCATCACCGCTGCCAACTCGGAAATGTGAGCCGGTGTTGTGCCAAAAATCGATGGGCTGCCAAATGGCGGCTGAGCGAGTGTACACGGGAGGACTTTAACAAGAATGTAACAAGATTAACACTTAAAAACAATTATTTGTTGGCTCGATTTTATAGTAAAGGTGTGTCTCAGTTTAACGTTTACTTAATAAATGCACTTTGATGGTCAAATCAGCTACATTTCGCCAGAGCAGCGCAGCAAAATGAAGCTCATTCGGTTGCTCCAGGCAGACGACGGTGGCAGGTTATGGCAAGCCAATCGTGTCATTAATAGCCATTTTTACCTATTACATGATACAACGGCATGCCATACACCTCAAGTGCCATCTAGTGGCTGAAAATGGTAGTGTTCAATATTTTCAGTCAGAATGAATGAAAACGGTCATATCTCAGCCAAAAATTGTTTTATAAATATGGGAAAAAAATCCATAAATAAATCGCTTCGGCATATAAGTCGCAGGGCATGTAAATTATGCAAAAAAATCTGTGACTTATACAGCAAAAAATACGGTACTCAAGTCTTGGCTGCACTCAGACTATCTGTTAGCTTCGCTGTTAGCATGCTAGTTAGTCCTGCTAGACAAGAACTCTTCAAAACAAAGCTGTCCAAAACACAGGAAAATAATTGTTCTTAACCTTTACACAGAACCTCACTTTCAACAAACTGAACTATTCCTTTATGTGCTAAAATATCTTTACACACTGCTGTAAGGGACAGAAAGTGTTGGGGGCTTTTTCAGGTAAAAGTGACATCATTGGCTCACATATCTGTCTGACGCTCATGCCTTTTTAACCCTCCCAAATACAGACAATCAGACCTTCATGCATTTCTATACATTTCATGGATGATAGAATTAAGATTTGTTTCTTGTTCCCCTGTTGCATTTTAACAGCAGGCCTTTCTGATGATTGTACTCTTGCAGTCAGTCCCCTGTTATAATAACTGTAAGCTTTAAATGCAGTGAGTTTGTTCTCATCCTCTCTGAAAGTGCTCCTGTGTATTTGCCTGACAATCTATGTAACAATGCTCTTGCATTTCAATGAGACTGTATATTTATGTGCTGGGTGTCAGATTAAATTATCAATAATTGAGTAGAATAATCTCATTTTAGGTAAGTGAATTATAATGCAGTTTGAATAACGTTGGTCTTTGTCGAGATGTGTGCCATCTGGAACCATATAGTGCCTCTCACATCCTGTTTGATGTGTTTTTGGTAAATGTTTAGAATGAAATAAAGACAAAATAATAATTTCTGAGCTGCGTTTCTCAGCCCCCAAAGGTGCGTTCAGACACGATGGATCTGGTGAAACTGAGCTCGTGTTTCTCAGACCAGCAGATCATGGAACACTTATTAAATTCCCCAAGTCAAACAAACATTACATTCACTTAAAGTGAATTAAATTAACCTCTGACCACCTCCCCTCTGAGCTAATGTAGTTCCTCTCTAAGACCAGCCTAATGTTTTGGCTGGGCCCTCCCTTCAGAGCTAAAAGGTGACATTTTCAAACAATCGCAGAATGTGCCTTGAAACGCAGCGAGAGCGTGCAAAGACTTAACCACTATTAGAGTAAACTCTCACAGGGACTCCAACTTAAATCACCACTGAGGTCCGTTCACCCATGCACGTCGTTATCGCTTCTTTTTTGACAATGTAATTCAAAGAAAGTGCTAATTTATCCTTGTAAAAATGTGACAAATTTTTAAAAACTTGTTTATTTAAAGTAAAAAAAAAAAAAAAAACACTTTTGTATCAGAAGATGAATAAAAACCTTTTTGGTTTGCAGTTTGTTGAAATATTGGATTGTATTTGTTTCTACAGTAAAAGTGTGCATACATGAGAGCATGAGTCTGTGTACTAGTTTTTGTTCCTTTTCTGGTAAAAACCACCTCCCTGCCAGGACCTGGAGTCCTTAAAGAGACCAAAGCCCGGTCCTAAAACTGTAGTGCATTATATTAGGAGTTTGCTTTAGGGCTAATGTGTGAATTGCATTTAGGATTAAGGTCAGGATTGAGCTACAGAAATTAATGGAAGTCAATACAGTGTTTGTTTTTTTCATTCAACCTTTATTTATACAGGTTAATCCCATTGAGCCTCGGGGACTCATTTACAAGAGACACCTGAGTTAACATAAGGATAAACATGAACATGTGTGTGTACATTTATTTTTTGTTTCCTTTGTCAGAAGGTTTTCTGGTATAATCACCCACCTTGATATTACCTTTATAACATAATCACATACCAGATAGTCATTTTGAGGACCAAAACCCTGTTCAAATACTTTATTTATTAATTATTTTGTATTTATTTGTTAAGGGGTAAGTTTAAGGCTAAAGTGCAGATTGACCTTAATAATAATAATGATAAAGCGCTATGTGTTGTCATCATTGTATGTTCCCATACAAAGATGCAACTGGCTCAGGTTTAGACCACAGAGATGACTGAAAGTCAATATGATGTACTTAAAATGATTGGAATATGAATGTGTGTGCACAGCTGTAACCAACATTTTTATATGAATATTCCAAATTTCAATGCATTAAATTATCACCTGAAAAAGAAAATAGACATTTTGTCTATAACATGACAATTTTTAGTGTCAGACATAAAAAAAAGGCTTTTTTCCTTTACCCTTCATTTATACAGGTACTCTCACCGAGTCACGAGAACTCATTTGGTTAATGTATTCAGGTAAAAGGACAATAAACAAAACAAAAAGTTTGAGCTGAGCAGAAACTGCCTCTGATGTGTTGACATCTCTGTGCTTCATAAAAGCCTCTATGAGCCAGTAAAAATGGAGAATACCAATGTTTTGTTGCACAGCCTGAGCTGGGTTTACTTCCTGTGTTGGACAATGCTGCCACCTCTTGTCTGAGGTTACAACTTCAGTTTTAATTCTTTCACAAAATGCTTTTGCAGAACGGTTTGCTTTCTAATAGGACAAAATACTAGTTTTTCTCTTGTTATTTACAGCTATTTTTATTAAGAAATTATGGACTAAGCTCTAAATGTGATTCAAATCTAAAGTACAAATATGCTGATTATGATTTTTGCACACTAGCTGCTCATTACAAACGACAATCAGAAATACCTGCAGCAGCAAAGAAACACTCACGCCTGAAACACAGGTTGCGTTTAGTACTTACCCTCACATTTAAAAAAAGTTGGGCTGTAATTTATGAGCGCAGAAGAAAGTGTGTGCATGTGTGTGTGCATGTGTGTGTGCATCTGTGTGTGTGCATGTGTGGGAAACAAGATGAGACAGAGGGTCCAAATATGTAAGTGTGCAGCTCCAATTGCCTTCCTGTAATTTACTGAGTGAATTGAGTGTTTGTTTAAGAGCACGCTCAAAACTCCTGAAGTAAAGGGAAAGTGACAGCATCTACTGCACTATTGTTTCCAGATGTGACTCCACTCATGCACACACTCACGCACACACACGCACACACACACACACAGACGATGCACGCACAAGCATTTTCACAATTTAAAAAGTACATAAACACAAACATACACGCAG